ATATACATATACATATACATATACATATACATATACATATACATATATATATATACACACACACACACACACACACACATACACACACACACACACAGATTATGAAAATAAATGTCAACCTAATACCGCTAAAGCCAATGATCATTAATTTTCAAAAGCAGAAATATCTATTATACATTTTTTGTAGATTAAACATACTGTGGAAGAAAGCTTACACCAAACAGAGTATGGAAAGTGAGAGCACTTCCTTCACATATAAGTCCAGCTGTAATAGATTGGGAAAAAAGCAGAGGTTTTTTCCCTTGTCTGGTGTTTTGGAAAGAATCCAAACTTCTGGAAGATATAAATTATTTCCTGTACAATGGATTCATAACTATTCTAAAAGAACCAGGAATCTCTGTGTGTTCTCCATCAACTTACTAGTTGATAAATAGAATGATACATAGAATTCAGGCAGAAGCAGAAGTCATGTTGCTGATAGTTGGACTACTGAATAGCTGAACGGCTTTGGCGCTGAGTATGGAATGTGTTAGAAAGGAACTATTTTATTTGAGCCTAAAGCATGCAGGTCAAACAAATAAAGCACAATTCACAGTTCCCAATGAAAATAGAAAAGAACTGAATCACCATGGAACTGATAAAAAGTAAAAAAAGAAAAGAAAAAACTAAAGCAAAAAGTTACTTACTAGCAAAATAGAAACAATCTACACTTTGAGACAAAAGATAAAGTTTACTTCTAAGTGAGTCACCATCTGGAATCTCTGATAGAAACCAACCTCTTACATTAGGAGCAGGCATGAAATCCTCTTACCTTCGCTACCAGTTTGGACTTGGGAGCACACACGTGGCGCTTCTACGCATGCATAGAATGTTCTGTGCATGCGCAGAGCGTCCGTGATGAAGTCTGGACGGGTAGGCGGAGCCTCCCACCACCACCAAACCAGGACGAACCGGCAGAATACCACCTCTGATTAGGAGGCAGTAAATTAGGAAAGTATTGTGTAAAAAAATTATGAATGTTAAAGCTGTTATAGAGAACAAAAAAACAAAAACAAAACACCTCTATACCACTTAAAGGAGCAAACAATAAAATAGAAAAAATAAAAGCAGAAACTGAGGTGGACTCAATCTACAAAACTAAACGAAAGACTGAAAACACTGTAAATTAGACTTATAGGAAAATTATCTGGGATGTAGGTTAAATGAGGTATAAGAATAAGCTTGATACTTCAGGTTACTTAAATTTAACTGCTACCTTTGAAGGAATAAACCTTTTGAGGATGAAACCAATAGCTACTTGGCTGTCTGCCAGTGGCTGGATCATCCAAAACAAACCCATGCATGACACGTACCTTTTGCGGCTTGAAATCAAATTTCACACAGTGCTGGAAACCTTTTCCTTTTGACTTAATTGATGTCACAACCAAACAGCCTCCCACAAAATGAGCGGAATAACCAAGCCCTTTACTTGTTCTAAAACTGAAACAAGTAAATACTATTATTATGCTTATATTTATTTACATGTATTGATGAAAGTCAATTTTAAGCAGGTATAGTACAACAATAGGAAATATATCAGGATATATTTATATACATATTTATAATAAAATATATAGTACCAATAAAGTACTAGAACTTGCACACTTGATGTTACCTAGTTAGGGTAACGAAACATTTGCAAGAAAACAAGCAAGTCAGAGAGCACAAAGGGTCACTCAAAATATATAGTAAACATATAAATATATACAATGCATATATACATACCAATATAAGTAAGGTTTATCTTTGTCTACATTGATATTATTTACAGGATCCATTCTTAACCAAGTATGAAAGGTAAATCCATTCTGGTACGGCCACTTTGCTATAGGAGGTAAGGCAATAGCCTAAAAAAAGCAAATGATTATCATAAATGAAATATGTTTTTGTTAAAAAAAACTTTAAAACATGTTTTAATAAATATCCTTATTTTCATTTCAATCTTTGCTATAAGTTAAAGTCCGTTTTATGCATAAAAGGCAATATTTTCCTTTGTGTTTTGCTTTTTTGATGTTTTAATATAAATAAATGTGAACATTTCAAATATAAGATCAGAAAGGATAGTTATTTATACCAGTACAGTGATAGAATTATTGACTGTTCACAATTGAATCATGAGACACTTCTAGCAAGGTGGATGAATGGACATCTGCATTTTGTAGAGTAGGGGTCTCCAACCTTGGCAACTTTACAACTTGTGGACTTCAACTCCCAGAAGTCCACAAGTATGTGCTGGCTGATGAATTCTGGGAGTTGAAGTCCACAAGTTGTAAAGTTGCCAAGGTTGGAGGACCACTATTGTAGAGGAAATTACAGCCAAAATATAATATCCAGACCAATGATGGGTTCCTACCGATTCGGCCGAACCGGTAGTGGTTTGGCAGCCTGGGTCGCTGGAACCGGCAGCGCCCCAGGCCTGCCACGTCCCCGAACTTGTTCTCTGGGCAAAGCCTATGGTGCCACCATCTTGTTTTTTGCTTCTGCGCATGTGCAGAGAAATTTTATTGCACTGCGCATGCGCATGCGCATGCACAAAGCGCCCACCCCTGATCCAGACTGCTTACAGTATAATTCTCTCTGCAGTAAAGATAGATCTTGAGATCGCCCTCATGTATTCTGCATAGCTGGTGGCATTTGGTTTTTGTTTTGTTTTTTAATTCAAATCAGTCAGATTTTATACCTAGATATGATTTTATTCTTTATATTGATTATTGTTACTTTTGTTACTTACAGTTTATAAAACAATGTTACAGTCGTCATACTACTGTTCTTTTTTTTGCTGCAAATATTTGAGTTCCTAATACAATTTCTTCCATGTTCTGAATCTTTCTCACAATAGTCCCCACTTACAATTTACACAAATTCTCATATCATCAATCATATATATATATATATATATATATATATATATATATATATATA